TCACATTACGAAGAACCAGCCAAGGGTCCACGCCCTCAGATGCGAGCCAGTCCGACCCTGGCGCGAGGGGTATCCTATAAGGGCGGATTGTAAGACCTCTGGTCAGGTGCTTGTCAAAGTGATGGTTTGAGCTGACCGGAGGTAGGTATGTGCATGACCCCCGGTTTTCTTCAGGTCAAGTTCCGGTCAGCCTCTGTTCTCTCTCGCAAACCAGTTGTTAGGCTAATTCTCATTAGCAGATTGACTGCTGGTCAGAGTCTGACCTGCGTGGTATGGTGACCAGAGGTTGACAAGAGCTCTTACAAACGGCCCTAAGTGGGATAGTACGGGTGGAGAGAGACACTTCTTACCGCAAATCATGCGATGCAACTTTATTACTTGAAAAACGTTGTGAATAACGTCAATCTAACGATCAGTGGCGTGGCATGAATGATCGACTATGGACATTTCCCCATTTGAAGCTATGGTATGGTAAAAAATCGATTATGGAGGTGTTCATTGCGAACACACTGTTTATCGATCCTTTTCCTTTCCTTTCGATTCCTTTTTTAAGGTTTAAATGGCAGATCCATCGATGTATCGCAAAACTCGCCACACCACTGGCATACTTATTTTCTTAAATTTTGGTCCATTCCATTCACTGCGATAATCAGACTCGTCACGACAAAGAACAGCGTTTACTTAGAGGTTCCCTGTTGCGCCGGGTAAAATATTGTCTCGAGAAAGCTATGATAGTTAGGCTGAGTAAAATTGTCGTTGTGACAACTAACAATTCCTTGCCGGAATATGATTCTTATAACCGTCAAAATTTTAAAACAACACTATCACGACTATGAGACGCTCATCGCCACACTTAAAATTTTACTAAACATATTCTTGTTGCAGCAAGCATTTTTCTCAGCACGACGGAGATGCAAAGGACAGTTCCCTTTGCTGTATTTGGCTCGATATTTCTCAATTTTATCATCAGAATGAAAAAGAAAGTGCCCCTTGTATTATTGAGTCATTTAGATAATATTAGACTCAAAGGCAATGGAAATGAGACGCAATACATGCATTCAAAAAAATTATAATAATAATCGCGTGCAACATGCGCAATTTTTTTTAACCGGTGCCATTAACATGTCCCATTGCCAGCAACACCCGTGACACTCCGTGAAACTTTTGTCGTGCTTAAAACGCGGAGTGGAGTTTGCACGGTCGGGGTAGTAACCCCGATAGGGTTTTCTGCTAATAGTTGCTTTTAGCCTACCTGTTGTTTTTAGAAAGGGTGCAACGGCTCTTACCTCATTAACGAACCCCACGCGGACCGTAAACACGAGTTAGAAAGGGGGGGGGGGGGGGTAGGGAGAGAAAATCAACTGACAGGGAAGACGGCTCGATGCAGCAGGCTGACAATGAGCTGAAAACCAAGGTTAAATACTAAACACTCATACTCAGATATATGAGGCGTCTAGTTCCAAAAGCGGCAATCTTCATTGCCGTATCTAAAAATTGTGCAATCATATTAATTTTCTCTGAGGAACAATCTAAACGTCCAGCTGTAATTAAAATTTTCCAAATTTTCTCGCTTATTAACAGAAAATTCACGAGAAACAACACTCGAGGTTTTCCCGTTCTTTCAATTTTAAAATTATAATGATCGCACAGTTTTTAGATACGGCAATGAAGATTGCCGCTTTTGGAACTAGACGCCTCATATGTATACATCAGGGACGATCCTGTCTTATTTTCCTGTGCAAAATTTCAGATACTACTAATTTTGATGGGCAAAAAAATTGTACAAAACGAGCTGCTAAGTCATTTGCCTTAGATTTATTTTCCTACTGCGAGTTTTTCTAGTAATTTTTTCTTACTCGTTATTTGACCCATCAAAGTGAGTCCGATGGAATAGATATTCTACTGGTTTTTCTCCTCGGGATATTTGTGGGGCTTGGAGAGCAAGGCACACAAATGAAGTTTTTGTTATTTCGAGAAATACGCGTTTCCGAAGAAGAAATTCCGAGATTACTTGGATTCTTATGGCGGAAAGAAAGTTCAACCCGACTTTTTGAGGATTAAATATTGGAATTTGGGAGCGAATTTTTTACATTATATGCATAAAGACCACTTTTACTTGGAATCAGTAATATTTCAATTTTTTTTCAAAAACTGCACTTATGCGCCTTGTCCTCCAAGCCTCTCATATGGTAAATTAAATATATTAAAGTAAAATGTAAAGATTTACTTGGTATAGAAAACTGTAAAAGCAAGTGGTATAAATTGCGTGGAAATAAAATAGGAAGTAAGATAGCCCTAGTAAATTGATAGATCCATGCTGCTGAAAGCTACAGCTTGTGAAGAGCGTAAAGGAGAAAAATCTTGACAACTTGAATATGCATGGCGGTGCCGCACTCATTCGGTAGATGTATTTTATGGTTATGACAAAGTGCTCACACACTAGCAAACACTGCTGCCACAACGGCACCAAAATAAGATACCGAAGCACACTTTCAAGTGTAATATGCTTGTATATTGAAATGGTAATGTTGATAAGTCGATGAGGTTTCACTGAATAATTAGATGCACAGCTGAATCGTGTTGAAGGAGTGAGTATTCGTGAATTTCTACCTCTCCCAATTTCCTCTTTTCAATTTGATTGAGGGAGAGAGAGAGAGAGAGAGAGAGTAAGCAATCCTCCAATTTTGAACTGATTATCACTTTTTACCTCTCATTATCTTCTTATAAAGATAAATATACAATCGTTCATGGGCAGGACAGATAATGGTTTCAAAATCCCGCTTCTCTCGAAACAGATCAAGGGAAACGAAGCGCAAAGATACAACTATTCGTACTTTCCCGCCCAACACGGAAATATTTTAAAAATATTGCTGAAATATTGTCAAAAACATTTTAACAATATTTAAACAATATCGAAATAATATTGCTGCAATAGTTTGTTGTCCGCCCCCCTGACAATATTGCAGCAATAGTGTCAAGGTAATATTGATAATATATTTTAAAAATATTTACTTGCGATGAGGTTATCATATTCCATATCCGTATGCGCGCACTCTAGGAGACGTCTCTGGTACTAATTTTCTTTCTAATGTACACATGCGTCCAGGTTGTGGATCGTAGAGTTGTTACTGACCTTAAAATCCCCGCCGTCCTTAGTCCTTTAGTCCTTTAGTCCTTTAGTCGGGATAAGAACCCACGCCTCGGGGTGGAGTTGATATCCGAAGTCCAGTACTTTACCACCAGACCAGCCAGGCTTGATGTAGATGGGCCCGTAAATTCAATCTCTTAACTATCGCAGGCCTCTGAGTCCGTAATATGTTTGTTTATTGACGGATTCTTATAATATTTTACCAGAATTTATTATTTATTATTTATTTATTATTTTTTATTTCATCCTGTAATTTGTGTTTCAAATTCTTTATTAATTGTACTCAACATATTCCTATTCATGTATTACAAATTTTCGTTTTTTTTAACTCTCTCTCATTTTTTTCTTTACCAAATTACTGTTTTTTATAATTGCGTCTTTTTCCAGTTTTAATTATTTGAGCTTTTTCCTAGTTTGAATTTATGTCGATGTATTTATGTTATGTTATTTATTTTTTTCCCTTCTTTTTGTCTTTTCTTCCCCCCCCCTTTCTTTTTTCTAGCGATTGATTTTAGTAAGTTCCGCAAAATAATTGGTAAACAGAGCAAAACCATACGCTAATTTGGCAAACATTTTGAAAATCTAGCAAAAATTTTAGCCATAAGAGCATAAACTAGTAATGTTAATTTCGCAAAAGTATAGTGCCATTTTCGCACAATAAAATTACCACTTTTGCAAATTGTTTTGTCGTTCTCGCCACGAGGGTGGGCATTTTAGCAAAAAAAGCAAATTGCAGAAATCGCAAACCATTTTTTGCCATTTTAGGAATTAATTTTTAAATATTACAAAAATATTTATAAAATATTTTTAACATAATATTAAACAAATATTTTTAAACTAATATTTCTAAAATAATTTTAAAATATTTTGTAAATATATTTTACAAACTGTTTTAAAAGTAATTACATAAATATATTTTGTAAATATATTTAAAACATTTTTATAAATATATTGTTACAATATTGTCATGAAATATTTTAGCAATATTGTCAACATATTTCTGCAGTGTATTTAAGGAAATATTTACATGACAATATTGTTTCAATATTGACAATATTGCTGCAATATTGCTGCAATATTTCGTGTTGGGCGGGTTTTAGGATGTCCGTGTTGTTGTATCTGCGAAATTGAAGGCGCGATGCCGCGAGGCGTGCTCTCGCAATGTTCCGGTTTAAGCTGGCTTTTCGAATGCAGCCGAAAAGAGTATGTTTGAAGGCAATTAACCGCCAATTTTGGTAGAATACACCTACAATTTGTATTATACTTCGAATGTGTCCGATCTGCTATTCAAACGCACTCGAAAAGATTATTTCTGAAGGCGATTCATCGACAATTTTGATAGAATATGCACCCAAATATATTTGAATTTAGTAAATTTATTAGCAACACCATTACTAACAATGGATTCTTGGATTTAGCTAAGGTGTTGGATTTGATTAGAGATAGGTGACGCGCTGTGATAACGACAATCGAATGTAACGAATTCTATGTATAAGCGATAATAATTTTACGATTTCAAATATCCAAGTAATTAAATACTTCTAATGAAGACACTATGTTGAAATGCATAACGAAATCAAACAAACAATTTTATGTGCTAATAAGGAGCACCTTATTAATTATTCAAATCCAACACTTCGGCTGAAACCAAAAATCTATTATCATATATTTTTGTAATACTTCGAAAATTTCGAATCTACTTTCATCCCTGTAAATGGATTTAACGTGGTTTACCATGCACAACAGCGTCGTCGGGTCAAAGTGGTCAATGGCTCGTTTCAGGTGAGACTAGATAAATGATTTTTACGTGAGGACATTAGCATAGAGAATCCCATAAAAATGGAGAGCTCACCGTGAACATCGATGCATCCGCTCTGTTTCTTCATCTCGGGCGTGTTGACTTGGCACATGTAGCAGCCTTTATCGGACTCCTTCACGCGGCTGATGTGGAGAGTGAACGTCCTGTGGTTGTCGAAAGATATCGAGATGCGAGGGCTGTGAGTCACCACCCGCGTGTGCAGGGTCAGAATCGTCTGGTCCCTCGACCTGAGCCAGCCAACCTGAAGCAATAATGCATGTCAATGCGCAAAGGAAGAGCTATTCAAATCGTTATTATGGTTTTAACTTTTCTGTTAGCATGCATCCCTGGACAAATTTAAACATTACGATCAGAGATGGACAATTTCACGAAATTTACTCGCGTGAAATTTCTTGAAATTTTTTAAAAGTTTTGGGGATGCGTTTAGTAGGCCAAGAAACGCCTGGCAACCGTGATTCTCCAGTTTGCCTTGTTTCACCCCAAGCCTAAAGTATTCAAGCGTTGCAAATGTTTACATTCGGTTTAGAGATTAGTTTAAATTTTAGATTATTTTAAATTTTAAAATTCAGTAAAAATTAAGCTTTCGTGAATAAGTAAATAAGTGAACGATTGGTAAGCTTATAATAAGCGTACCAAAGTGCTCAATAATTTGGCACACATTTATCCTTCAATTCAGAAGCTATGCAATTTGAGCCACTTGAGAGTTGATATAGTTGTATTACGCTTGTTTAACTCATAATGCTGATGAAGCTGTCACGATAAGGTTTGATCAGTTGCAAGAATTTAAAACATTTATAGGACAGGCTAATCTAAACGAGTTAGAACAGTAAGATTCTTATAAGAGAGAGGGTAATATCTATTTTTAATACCTTATGCTCGCCCAAATTGTTCACAACGCAACTTAGAGAGACTTCTTTGCCGACTGGAACTGTAAGGTTATCAATAGGGCCAGCGAATTCCGGCTGCAACCGTTGGTGTCGCAGATTGTGCGCTTCTGGGTCCTCTGAAATCAAAATAAATAATAAAGTCGATGACAAATTACATCAGATGTTCCATATTTTTCATACCTTTCATACATCCCTCAATCTCGAAAAATGTGCGCGATAAACTATGACACGCAACTGTGGTATTCCGATGGATTGTATTATTTTTTGCCGATTTATAAGCGTCTGGCGTGAAAAATATAAATTCAATGATAACTTAAACAGACTAATTCCATCCTCCCTTCATTTCATCATATTGTCACCCTCCGATCAAAGTATCACAAGCGCCATGCGACGTTTGAACATTTCCGACACCATTTCATTTTTTTACAGAGAAATCGTTGGTTGAATTCGTTTGATAATTTCACTGAATTGTATCGGCAGCATAAAGAATATCTAGTTAAAATTTCGGACAGCTTCGTTAAACAATTTCCCTGTGAAAAAATACAATATCGGTAGAAATTTTCAAACGTCGCATGGCGCTTGTGATACTTTGGCCGAAAGGTGACGATATAGATATATCATAGAGAACATAGAGTCGTATTGTAAGTGGGAGAGTTGGAGCCACTTCTAAGCATTTTCCAGGTCCCGAATTCCGAGACTCCTGAGTGACGCCGGGTCACTTTTAGGATACATAATCGATTTTCTTTGATACACGGGGACCCGGCCTAGAGTCCCTTTGTACCCAGAGTTAAGACAACTCACTTTTGGTTCGGCTGAAAGTGGCCTAAAAAAAATCCAATTCTGATTGGTTCTCGCTCATGGAGGCCGAAACGAGTGCACCAAGATGGCGGTACCTCGAATGTGAACAAGAATAATGAAAATATTACCTATAATTGTGGTTTATCAAGAGTAAATTGTTATTGCCATCGGTCCAAAATGAAAATAGATTAAGAAATTATTCACAAACCACTCTCATTTTCTTTTTAATTGATCAATTTGTTGATGCTGTTGTTTTTGTGTGACAGACATCGCAGGATTCCTAATCCTCATCGCTCAATATCGTTCGTTTGGGTGCACTCGTTTCGGCCTCCATGGCCAGCCAAGGCTGGCTGCCAGTCAGCTGATAATCGAGTTGTCTTAACTCTGGGTATAAAGGGACTCTAACCCGGCCATCCGATGTAAACAAAGAATTAGATAGGAATTATCACGTATTCCACACCGCCATTTTGGATCGAACATTTATCGAAGAAGTTACCCAAGCTCGGCTCACACTGGGCTCGGAACTCGTCGACCAGAACATGGCGCCAGTTCTCCCATTTACATCACGGCTCTATACTCTTTGCGATCTATGAAATAAAAAAGACATGTCAGTATCAAGTCTAATCTTAAAAACCAGGAGAGACCTGAAATCAGAGATTATATTTCTTGACTCGGAATATTAAGATTCCACTCATGGAGGCACTCCTAGGTTAATTGCCTGACACTGAGTGTAAGGGGGTAGGAATCCCATTTTGAAAGGCCCTCAAAGCCCTTTCAACCTGCGTAATTACAGCTCCATTATAGCAAACAGCCCTCACCTCACAATGTATCCCTTGCCGCGCCATCCCCTTCCTCAGGGCCTGCCTCCATTATCTTTCCGCTGACCTACAAACACGGTTGAATTTAATAAAAAGGCGCACTTGACATTAAAAGCTCCGGAAAAATGCAGCCGAACTAATTATACAAGACACGAGCTTTGCGAAAATGACGGGAGGGGGAGGGCAATGACTCAGCCGATAGCTTGCTAGTCAGGTTAGAGGTTTAACAACCGGGCTTAAGCTCACTGCGATAAAAAGCTAATCGAGTTTAAGCCTCATCCCAGAAATATGAGTGGAGGTGCCGCGCTGTCCTCCAATCTAATTTTTGGAAATTATTCCTTCCTGAAATTTTCGAAATTCGTTATGCATATATACGAGAGTGAACATCGATGGAGGATATATACCTATAAATTGGGTCGAACTTTGGCCCTACATTACTTTCAGAAATGGACCCGTAAAATTTTAGCTGCGTGCGTCAACTTCAGAATTTCAAGTGGAAAATAATATGCGCGACGTATAGTTCACGAAAAAAATTCTGAGCGAAATATTGGTGCTAAAAATTGCGACAAGGGTTCAATGAAAACTCCATTTTGAAGGTAACTTATCAGCATTAGAAACTAGTTTTGCTGCACAGAAGCGGCTTGTTCAAAACTGGTTTACTCTCATTTGGGGACGAAACAGAAAAGTTATTGAAATATTTTATTTGGTTCAGGGTGATAGGTCAAAATGTCCAAAAAAAAATATCCAAAAGTCAAAATGTCCAAACCCTGGATGCTCAAAAATCTAAAAAGGCCAAATATCAGTAATGTCCAGCAGACAAATAAGTCCAAAAGTAGGCAAACGTCCAAATGTGAGATTAGGCATTGGTTGAGTTGTCATTGGAGTTTTGGGTGCAGCTTTGCAAGCTGTTCGTGAATGCAGCCATATAGAAACAGATGCGTCGGATAATGGAGAGATGCAGGTGAGGAAAAAATGGTGATACAATTTTTCATGAGCGCAGGCCAATTCTTACTTTTAAAAATGCATTAATGATTTATTTTCCAAATTTTAAGTGGAATTGACAAACATAACAAACATGGCTAATATTACCCCGTTTGGCATGAAAAGCAAAAAATAAAAAATAATAATAAAAAAAAAAAAAGTTATTCTTGTCTATAACAACAAATAGTTAGTACCTATATAATTACTCTTTCCATATTTGGACATTCGCCTACTTTTGGACTTATTTGTCTGCTGGACATTACTGATATTTGGCCTTTTTAAATGGGCCTGTTGCAAACTTTTGCTAGAGCAAAAATAAGAGTTGTTTCTTATAGATAATGCCTCAAAAATCACGATGAGCGCATCGGCAAAGTCTGAAATGCACTCATAACTTCACAGTCTGCGTAAGAAATTTGCGGTTTTTTGAGCTTCCCGCTTCAAAAACGATAGTACGGCACAGGTGAACATTTTGTAAGAGGAGTCGTTCCATCGTCGGCAATAATCATCATGGCCGACGCCAATCCGCCAAAACACGTTTGATGGGACGAGATAACACCTGAACTGGATTAGACTAGATAACAATCGGTGTGTTAACGTTCATATTTTCCACGCCCGAATTGATTGACCTTGAACTCTCCTCGAATTACGCGCGGAACTACGCGCAAGCGTCGGCCATGATGAATATCGCCGACGATGGAGCGACTCCTCTAACAAAATGTTCACCTGTGCCGTAGTATCGTTTTTGAAGCGGGAAGCTTAAAAAAACGCAAATTTCTTACGCAGATTGTGAAGTTATAAGTGCATTTCAGACTTTGCCGATGCGCTCATCGTGATTTTTGAGGCATTATCTACAAGAAACAATTCTTATTTTTGCTCTAGCAAAAGTTTGCAACAGGCCCATTTTTGGGCATTCAGGGTTTGGACATTTTGACTTTTGGACATTTTTTTTTGGACATTTTGACCTATTACCTGAGCATTTGCTCCCTAGTAAAAGTGAGTCAGCCTGACGTCAGGCTGATTCACTTCTACTAGGGCTCTTATCATAAAAATGAAAAATAAAGTAAAATAATCCGTTGGGGGCTCAGAGGCAAACAGTTACGGGTGCAATACCCGTTGCTCCGGCCACTGCACCCGAAGCAGTCAGTCAGAGCAACGGCTCCGGCACCCAAAGCTCCGAACCTACGGTAGTAAGCCTCCCGTGACTACAGCTTCCACACCCATTTTTTTCGCCGGTGAAAATATTTCGAAACGTCGCGATTTCAGTGTAAAAAGATCTGAAAGAACAAACGAGCCTCCCCAACTTTCCAAGAAGCTTTTCGCGATCAAAAATTATTTCCTAATCATGATTAATAAAATCTCATTCAGAAAATTAATTACGAACGCTGTTTAATTTTTACCGATTAAGCCCTCTCTCCCTTCTTTGAAAGGAGTGAGACGTGAAATGGATTGCATTTTGCAAAAAGGAACCACTAGCATTGCAATGATGCTAAGATCGTGCAACTTCATCTTTTGCAATAAAATCGCGGAAATCGTGAAAAACTATGACATTTAGATGGTAATTTTTGTCTTAAATTCACAGTTTTTAGCGAGTAAAATAGAAACTATTAATGGATAATCGGGTTTTTCCTCCAAGACAAAAGAAGTTGCACAATCTTAGCAACATTGCAATGCTAGCGGTTCCTTTTTGCAAAATGCAATCCAAATAATATGGAGTCACTCGGGTCAAAACGGCAACAATGCAGCACATCTAGGGTTTCGATTGTCGAGGAAAGACTCTCAAAAAGGTCCTTTAATAGCGGGTTCCCTTTTACTCTCGGTTTCCGTTTGAGGGAAAGAGCGCCTTCCAGACCACAGACTTCAGATCGAGTCAGCGTCGGTGACGTGATTAAAATGCACTGCGTGAACCAAGGTGACGCGGCATTACGAGGGCAAGTCGTATTATTTACTTTCGCGGCAGACGCCAAATCGCCCGACTACATTCAATTGAATGATTACAAGACCTGTTGAAATGAAGCACACCATTGAGCCATCGTAAAATATAAAGGGTCTTCAGTGGCAAGGCGCGAATGATCGATTATTGATATTTCCTCATTTGAAGCTGTGGCGAAGAATCGATTATTATGGTATGGTATGGTTATATCAAAGCATGCCACGCCACTGATCGTCCAACGAAGACGAAAATTGACTCAACGATTTTCGAACTCAAAGACCGATTTTCGTCCTCCGCTTTTTTTGGATGAGCCAGAACTTTTAGTGGTGCAAAAGATAAAATGCATTTATAAGGCTCACATCGCAGTCGTCTGCTTAATCTTACATGACTGAAGTAAATGTTAGTTCTGCCTGAAAATCTTTTGGAACCTGGCAAGTTTTAGTGAACGCTTAGTTAACTGTTAGTTTGTGAACGCCGGGAGAGCCTTCAAATACTGGCTATACATCCCGCTTTATCGGAAGGGTAGTTTAGTTGCGTGACCCAACTGAACGCTTAGAACACCTTCAAATCTGGCGATACCTCCCACTTT